AGATAGATTAGTTAGTTAGTTTGTTGGATAGATAGATAGATAGATGGATGGATGGATAGATAGATAGATAGATAGATAGAGAGAGAGAGAGATAGATAGATAGATAGATAGAAAGATAGATAGTTAGATAGATAGATAGATAGGATAGATAGGATAGATAGGATAGATACGATAGATAAGATAGATAGGATAGATAGGATAGATACGATAGATAGGATAGATACGATAGATAGGATAGATACGATAGATACGATAGATACGATAGATACGATAGATACGATAGATACGATAGGTTCGATAGGTTCGATAGGTTCGATAGATTCGATCGATTCGATCGATTCGATCGATTCGATCAATTCGATCAATTCGATCGATTCGATCGATTAGATGGATTAGATGGATTAGACGGATTAGACGGATTAGACGGATTAGATGGATTAGATGGATTAGATGGATTAGATGGGTTAGTGAATTAGATGGATTAGATGGATTAGATGGATTAGATGGATTAGATGGATTCGATGGATTAGATGGATTAGATGGATTAGATTTGGATTAGATTTGGATTAGATTTGGATTAGATGGATTAGATGGATTAGATGGATTAGATTTGGATTAGATTTGGATTAGATTTGGATTAGATTTGGATTAGATGGATTAGATGGATTAGATGGATTAGATCGATTAGATAGATTAGATAGATTAGACAGATTAGATAGATTAGATAGATTAGATAGATTAGATAGATTAGATAGATTAGATAGATTAGATAGGTAAGATAGATAAGATGAATAAGATAGATAAGATAGATAAGATAGGTAAGATAGATAAGATAGATAAGATAGATAAGATAGATAAGATAGATAAGATAGATAAGATAGATAAGATAGATAAGATAGACAAGATAGATAAGATAGATAAGATAGGTAAGATAGATAAGATAGATAAAATAGATAAGATAGAGAAGATAGATAAGATAGGTAAGATAGGTAAGATAGGTAAGATAGATAGATAAGATAGATAGATAAGATAGATAGATAAGATAGATAGATGGGATAGATAGATGGGATAGATAGATAGGATAGATAGATGGGATAGATAGATAGATAGATAGATAGATTGATAGATAGATAGACAGATAGATAGATAGATAGATAGATACATAGATAGATACATAGATAGATAGATATATAGATAGATAGACAGATAGATAGATAGATAGGGAGATAGATAGATAGATAGATAGATAGGTAGATAGATAGATAGATAGGATAGATAGGATAGATAGATGGGATAGATAGATAGATAGATAGATAGATCGATCGATAGAGATAGATAGATAGATCGATAGAGATAGATAGATAGATAGATAGATAGATTAGATTAGATCAGATTAGATTAGAATAGATTAGGTTAGATTAGATTAGATTTAGATTAGACTAGATCAGATTTAGATTAGATTAGATTCGATTTAGATTAGGTTAGATTAGACTAGACTAGATTAGATCAGATTTAGGTTAGATCAGGTAGATTAGATAGATTAGGTAGGTTAGATAGATTAGATTGATTAGATTGATTAGATAGTTTAGATAGATTAGATAGATTAGATAGATTAGATAGATTAGATAGATTAGATAGATTAGATAAATAGATAGATAGATAGATAGATAATTAGATACATAGATAAATCAGTTAAATAGATAAATAGATAAATCAGATAAATCAGATAAATCAGATAAATCAGATAAATAGATAAAAAGATAAATAGATGAATCAGATAAATCAGATAAATCAGATAAATCAGATAAATAGATAAAAAGATAAATAGATGAATAGATAAATAGATAAATAGATGAATAGGTAAATAGATGAATAGATAAATAGATAAATAAGTAGTAAATAGATAAACCAGATAAATCAGATAAATAGATAAATCAAATAAATATAGATAAATCAGATCAATAGATAAATAGATAAATAAATAAATAAATAGTAAATAGATTCATAGATAGACAAATAAAGAAATAAATTTCCTATAGATATGTAGATGGAGAAATGGAAAGGTGGAAAGGTGGAAAGGTTGGATAGATGGAAAGATTGAAATATGGAAAGGTGGATAGATGGAAAGGTGGATAGATTGATAGATGGATAGATGGATGTATAGATAGATAGATAGGTTAGGTATGTAGATAGGTAGATAGGTAGGTAGGTAAATAAGTAGATAGGTAAATAAGTAAATAAGTAAATAAGTAAACAGGTAAATCGGTAAGTAGGTAAGTAGGTAAGTAGGCAAATAGGTAAATATTGTGTATCTGTATATATAGATAATTATAGATATACATGCCGCAAATTACATATTATATACATATTACATATTTTATAATATTTATGTAATTATATATAGTTATATATACATATATTATCGCTCCTTCATCTCCATTTTGGCAGGTCAAAGCGCCCATTTTCGCACAGCTTTTTGTCCCGGCGATGGAAACCACTGGGGAGCCCTACCCTTCACCGTGTCCTGGTCCACCATGTCTAGCACCTGTCCAGCCTTAGAGATCCCGAACAAAAATGCATAGTTCATGTGTGTGTGTACTTCGGTAGATAGATAAGATTAGATCAGATTGGATCAGATTGGATTAGATTTTGATTAGATTAGATTAGATAGACAGACAAACAGCTAGATATATATATAATTATATATATATATACATATAATTCAATCCTCAAGGAGTGGGATGGTTTGATGGTTTACACTTTACACCAGTTTTTGGATGGTTCAGGCCCTCAAGGCATGTTTGGGCCAATTTTTGCAGGGTTTAGGACTAGTTTTGGATTGACAAAAAAACAAGTCTTGGATGGTTCACCCCAAGTTTTGTCTGGTCTTAGTCTTACCACAAAGATGGGAATAGCATGGACATGAAACAACAAAAAATGGTGGATATCAGCTGATTTGAATGAGCTAAATCTTGATCGCTTGACCCCCAAGTGCAAACAAGGTTCCCTGGTGCCATAATTTCGCACCAAATGCTGAGCAACATCGAAGGCCAAGTCATATTTCTGTGACAAGTTCACAGCTAAATTCTCGTGGTATCCTGGCTCACGGATGGTATGTTGACCAATTGGATACATGACTTTGTCTCTTCGTCTCGAAAATGTGGCACCTACCTACATGATCTTACATGTGCTTGCCCCAATTGGATGGGAATGTTCAATGTGTTTCAATCAAAGAAAATAACCAATCTCATGGTGATTTCCATCAGAAAAATCATATCATGATAAACACAATTGGATTTTGAGAGTTCCACTTGGTTCCAAGCCGGAACTGACCCAGTGGCCCTCCTTCAGGGAAGAGGTCCGTCTTGCCAGTGCCCAGCAATGGAGTTTCCAGCGAAATGGAGGGACCGGCCTCGAAGTCAGAGTGAACTGATTGAACCAAGCATTTTCTGGTGTCCTAATGTGACCTATGCATCAAGTCATCGCACAAATGGAAGCACTTCATGCCTTTCACATCTTTCACCGGAGAGGAACCGGGTCCAAGTGGATGAGTGGATGACCCGAAACTGATCTACGCCCAATAGAGACAGGTCAATAAACGCCGACATGGATGGTTTACGATGGAAAATCCCATTAAAATGATTTAAAATGCATGATTTAGGGGTGCTTATAGCAACCATATTGTGTCAAAGGCCCAAGTTTTGCTCAGCTGAGCCTTCTTTTTCAGCTCGGGATGGCGTTGGATCACCTGCTCCACACCATCTTCCGCCATCTCTCGCCAGGTGGTCCACTTCCCACCCGAAACGAAGGTGATGCCGTTGCTGGGATGATGGGAGACCTGAGCAGTAAATCCCACTTTTGATATCTTTTGATATCGTTTAACCAGAACAAGATGGTGATCAAACCTTAAGTTTGCTTACGACTTGAACTTGGGGTATGGATCCCCAGTTAAAACAAGACCCACTATCAGAACTCTGCAAACTCCTTATCCTAACGGATCCTGACGGTCTCAGTAGCCACCAACAGAAGCGTCGCAATCGTCGCACCAAGCAACGACATGGTCCCGGGAGGCGGAACTCTGGTCTTTGGCATTGGGGTCGCCACACAATGGACGAATGCCGTACCATGCAGACATCACATCGCCTGGCGTACCGAAAGATCCGAAAGGTACCACGGAAACCCCAAAAAAAACCGTACCAAAAGGCATAGGAAAATATAGGAAAGCTGGCTGAGCAAATGAGCAGGGGCAACTTTCGGAGACAATCGAAACGGATCGACTAAGCCGAGATGGTTCCCACATTAGTCATTACTAGTCTATAATCTATAAAGTTTTCTAATTCGATTCCTCACGATCCGATGTCTGGTTTTGCCAAGCTTCGGCGTCTCACGCGGAGACTGGGCGACAAGTACTTCTCGCATTCGTTGATCAAGTACTGGATCTCATCCTACGTAACGCAAAGTTTGAGAGTTCGAGCGACTCCCGTCATACCCTATGTGACTGCATGTCTGTGGCTCAATGAGTCTTCACCATGGCTGGAAAGCACCATCAAGTGGATGTGGATTTCTGGATCTATATGGTTGATTCATGTTGGTTCCTCAGTGTATGACGTCCTTCCACCCACTCCCATCCTCCGGCACTTGGTGATGCAGATCTGGCTTTGTTTTCACATCGGTGGTTCCAACCAAGGTGTAGCCCTCCCATGGCAGAAAGAAGAGGAACGAGCCTCGGCAGGGTCGAGCACTGGATCAATGCCGGGTGATGTGGCCATCAAGGCGCCTCGGGATGTCATCATGTCAACCATGCCGATGTGTCGAGGGCAGTAGTAGGGCCTTGGGCAAATTAGCGAAATCTTCCCAGAGACGCCGTTGAACGCTAATCCACAGCAAAGCTCACCGTGCAGCCAACAGTGCAGCCCAAATGCGGAAGCACAATGTGCGTGCCTCAGTCAGCAGGTCTCGGCACATTAAACCAGGCCTCTGGGGTTGGTGGTTGAGATACCTATTCCACGTAGTCAATTGGGGTTACGTTACTATGCCCGGTGGCAGCCCAATAAATGCTTGAAACTTGAAACAAGCAGCCCACAGCAGTCCACAAAGATCCAAACAATATACAAACTCAACCACTGCCAAGCTGCCACCAGATGCATTGACCATTGGTTTCACATCCTGTCCTTCACTAAGCTGTCGCAGGCCATCTGTGAAAGGGCCTCCGCAGTAAATAATCTTTTTGGCCTCAAGCACTCGGGCACTCAGGCATGGGTCAAGATTGGGGATCAAAAAATGGCTTAGTTGCGGTTAGTCCACACAAAATCCCACCAAGATTGAACTGATTGTCATCTGCAGCATGTCTATCTTTTCAATTTTTGGATGGCACCCACAAAAAATTACCTGCAATGACCAAAAAATGATCAGGCCTTAAACAATTAACAACCTTGACCCGTACCCTATTTGAGTATATTTGGGTTGCGTTTAGCAGCAGTTGGTTACCAAGTGATGTTTGTGAGATCCCCAATTCGAGCAACAAGTGACAAAACCCAGAATTGCCAGCAGCCCTTGGCTCACAGTAGTTTCTCAACTTCTCTTGTGAGCAAGGTGCTTTGATTTGAAAAGGCTTGGCATTTGGATCGGCTTTGTCTAGGACCTGCCCATGAGAACAGAGTCAAGCACATATTGACAACGCACTTGTGGCTCATTACATCCAAAAGCACGCCGTATTTCTTGCCTCAGCACCCTGGGCGACACCTTTCTCATCGAAGAGAATTCGCTCCACCTGTATTGCAGCACATAGCAGCCGATCAGCTGAGATTGATGAAAAGGTAGCAACATCGAAGAAAAGCGGATGGGTCTCAATCGCGGCTTGAACTTGCAAATTATTGTGCATCATAATTGGATATTATTCTGGTTGGTGGTTTCAACCCCTCTGAAAAATATTAGTCAGTTGGGATGATGATTCCCAACATATGGAAAAATAAAAAATGTTCCAAACCACCAACCAGTATTGGTGCTGTTTCAGCCACCTTGGCATAGTTGGAGATTGCTGCGCCATACATGGCAGCAGTGAATGCAATGCAGAGGTTGGTGCGCGCATCATTGTGCTCACCCTCGTAGAAGACAGAGACATACTTCATCCTGCACAGGAGCTCGGAATGTGGAAAGCACGATCAAACAGCGGCTACCTCAGGAACCGAAATTAGAGGCGCCACGGTGTATCCAATGTAATACTTCCAGTTGGGTCTGGAGCAAGTGACCACACTTCGCTGTCTGGAAAGACTGGGAATAGTCCAAACAAATTGGCACTGGGAAGCCAGGGTGGCTTCCCCACCAACATCTTCCATCTTGAATAAAAAGTTTCGAGAGATTCACGGTTTTTTGGACCTGAATTCCAGAAACATCGTGGAAAATCAAACAACATTGGGATTTTGTGAGTCTTAAAATCCACCTTCCTTGGTTCTAAAATTCCAGAGGCTCCTCTTGCCATCCATCTGTGGAAAATCTGCTCGAGCGCGCTCGGAGGACATCACAAAGGAGCTCGGAGCCACGTACCTCGGAGTTCGGAGAATCTCCTGATTCGTTGATCAAATGAAGTGGTTCCATGGATGGATTTCATACGCAATTTATTGGGTGAAATAAACGATGAAGAATTTGGGGGCTCACCAACGAAGATGATGATGTCAAGCAAAATCCATGCAAAACCATGGTCTCATATACATTGAAAACATGGAGTGGAAACTCGTGAATTTTCCCTTCAACAGGCCCCAAAAATTACGGGGTCATCACCCCAAATAGCATAGAAAGTTTAGAAAACATTCTGGAAGTTAATTTGCAGGCAGCTCCAAGGTGCTTTCCCAGAAGATCGTAGAATTTGAAGAAAATAACAAACAGCCCTGTGCAAGGGCCCAACGCAGCGGGCGGATAGTCCTCGGCATTCTGCTTGGTTGGATGCTGGATCCAAAGAGACTAGTAGCGTTTAGTAATAGCATTTGGTCCACCAGGATGGGGATGCTTGGTACACCCCTCTCATCAGTTGGGCCATCGTTGCTGTCGAGGGTCGAACGGTGGAGGCCAAATGATCCACTTGTCCAGCCTGGGCTTTCGGAAAGTACTTCGGCTGCCAGGTGAGCAATTTCCTACACCTCTTGTCAGCTGGCTCTTGCAAAACCATGATCATCCCCATTCAAGCTGACAGTATGACACTCTCAACGGGATGAACTAGGATTATAACTAGCCACTGAAGTTGAATCCAAGGGGCGGAACAGCGATGGGTACCCAGTTGGTAATGTGGGGATTCATGGTCAACATGTAGGTTCGCTCACGGAAGCAGCCCAGCACCATGTGCCACGTGCCCATGAAGTCCTGAACCGTGGGTAGAATCCCCTGTGCTTCAGACAACAATCAATCTGCAAACGGAGAGTTTCAAGCCTATTTCCTAGACTTTTCATATCATCATCTTGGATTACTGGGTATGGCATGGTATGGCATGGTATGGCATGGTATGGCAACCCATACCCATCCATGTCCAAAACCCTGTGCCGTCGGCGAGGATCATTCCAAGCCGTGGCTGGACTCGTGATGGAGGAAGGTGAGAAAAGCTTTACCAAGCCCTTCACCAAATAGCGCGAGCCTGGGCCACCGAGCTTCCCCCAATCTGCGGTTGCTGACGTATTGAACCAACATAGGAGGGCAGAAAGTGGGAGAAGGTACAAAATCCATACTGGATACTGAATGAAAAAAATAAACACAGGAATGGGGATGTCATTGGTAGAGCCAGCCTAAGCATAACAATTGGAGATGTCGCATGATGTCACTACTACATACCGCCCGCAAAGTATACTGTAAGCAGCTGCTACAAACTCCATCCCCGAATTCCCATTGGACAAGTTGCCAGCCCACAGCAACTTGGTCGACTTCGAGGATGTGCCTGAAGCGAAATCTTCCTGGCATCGATACATGGCACTCGAAGACTAGCTATGTCACTTGGCATCTGTGAACAAAGACTGGACTTCTCCCAGGAACTCAACAATCTCAATATGGAAGCTGAAGAATCAATATCGCAAAATATTCCGCCAATAGAAATTGAAATTGTGGAGGTCTCGGAGCGCGGTCGGCAGATGTCCGCAAGTCGTTTTGGTCGAGCGAGGCAGTCGAGACTTTAGGGTCACGTGAGCTGCATGCGATATAAGAAACCGGCACGTCAGTCATGAGTTCGCTATAGTTTGCTACATCAGTGCATTTCAGCAATGATTGCAGCATGGCTGGCAAATTTGCACAATGTTAAAACACCAACCCGAAATTACGCGCGTGCAGGAGACACATGTAACACATGAAGTCTCAAAAGGCACGCTTGACTTGTCCCTAAGGCGGCCCAAGCAAAAGAACAAACATTTCAAACATCAGAACACCGCAAACACTAACGCACATGGTATAGAACACACAAGACGCAGTGGAACATCCTGGGCACACTGAAAGACACAAAATTTGCACCACGAATTGGCCAGGCTTTGCTGGAGGCATGAATTCCAAATTACCTTCATATTATCACTTTTGCACTTTCCCACGTGGTTCAATGATTCCCGCTCGGATAGCTGCCACCTTGGCTTTCTTCCGTTCCTTGAGGGCACCCGCCGGGCAAGCATGGCAGTAGCTACAGTCAACAGCGTTCGAGCAGCCTCGAGGTTTCCAGAACCAAGCACAAGGCTTGCACTGCCCTGTGCCATGCAGTGCTGAACCCTTTGAAGAAGCCTTCGTTGGACACTCTGGGGCTGCTTTCAAACCCTCCTTTGACATGAAGCCCTCCCATGGCAAACAAATCTCCAAGGATCGAAGCTTGTCCGGCGCTTCGTTGGGATAGTCCGGCTCATCCCAAGCCCGAGATGGCACGTCGGAAGTCATGTGGCAGTCTTGCTGCAAGTTCATTCTGCTAAAGGGAACGAACTCCCGAGCATTGATGTTCAAACTGGTCCGGGTCACTTCCTGTGGATGTCCCACAGCCACATTTGCCGCATTGGCCATGTTGGCCGCATGTGCCGCGTGAGAAGCATCGCACTCCTGTGGGATGGGTGGCATACCAAAGCACGGCGGCTTGTAGTTGGAATGTGGTGATGGAGTGGCTGGCCAGCAATTCGGCAGGACTACGCCGGCCACGCCTACGCCTGGGCCCACAGGGAGCTGCGCCTTGTGACGCAGGACGTCCTCCCAAGCCTCACCTGAGGGGGAAAGACAGATGGAAAAATCCTGGGGCAGGGAACAGCCAACAAACTCATAGGGAGATGAGCCCAGATGAACAACAACTTGTGATGATGGGTGCCAAAATTCGCTATCACTGGCTGGTGAATAGGACTTTCTATCATTCACTGTGTTAAAAACACCTGTACACTTCAAATGTGGATGTCATCTCCAACACTTGTCGCTACGTACTACTAAGGAATACTATAGTACTGTATATATTTCCACTCATGTCCATATATTTCCAAAGCCTCGCCTGAAATGTAGGATTGGCACGAAGGTGATCGAGTCGTTTGACTGATGGGAGAAGGGCCTCGCACCACCTTTTCGTTCGAAAAGCCAAGGTCATAGGCCCGTGAGATTGGCAAAGGCACAAGGGCCGACGCTGAGGCCATGGTGTAGTACGGCGGCCGGCGAACAGCCTATGGCGTTGCCAACTAACAAAATCCCGGTGGCGGAACTGCCAAATTTGGGCCAACATGGTGACCACATATCGATAGAGATCAACGACATGGCAACAATGTTGAGGCTGTTGAGGTGTCCTGATCATGGGTGCCATGGTGGAAGAGTGAATTTTCTGGAGCTGGTTTCATGTAAGCCAGTCAGAATGTTCCTGATTTCTCACTGCCAAGGCAGCATAGCGCATAGCACATGCATCCAAAGGCAATTTCGGGTGAAAATCAGTTTTCCGCCCAAGCCTGCTCCACACAGGCGACGTTCAAGCCGCGAAGTTGGGCTTCTAATGCTACGCCAGCACCTTTCAAGCAAATCACAAGTTTTTGAGCACACTTTGAAACCCTTGCCAGAATACTACGTGTGTATTTATATATATATACACACACATACATATATTATACACATAATTCTGTATGCATATCTGCATGTCTGTATGCACGTACGTATGCATGCATGGATGTATGTATGCATGTGTGTATGTCATACTGTAAGGGGCTAGAGTGACCGTGTAACTAGGCTGAACTGTGGTTACAAGCAGTCCATTCCGTATACAAAAGTCGAAGAAAACCTTTGGAGTTGAACAGCAAAACAAGAAAACACCTCTCGTCCAAATCATCACATGCACATCCTCGCGCCTCATTGGTATGAGTCCGGCATGAGACAAACCCCTCATACCCTGGTTCATGTCCGCACCACCTCTACCAAATTACAACGGCATAGGCCCCAGATAGAAAAGGTTGGAACTGATGGTTCCCAACGTGGGAACCAAAGGTTACCATGGCAAGGAACTGCCGGTTCCCAGACCTTGAAACTTACGGTTCCCAACCTGGGAACCAGAGGTTACAATTGCAAGGAATTGCCGGTTCCCAGAAGTTAGAATTTATGTTTTCGAAGCTAAGCAACTATCATTGTAAGGAACTGCGGATTCCCAAAGCTTGAAACTCATGGTTCCAAACCTGAAAAAGCATACGTTACCAGTGGAAGGATCTGTTGATTCCAAAAAGATCAAAATCATGGTTCTTAATGTTGTTTTGTTTTGTTTACTGAGCCGGTAACAGAACCTTTTGTTTTGCTTAATGGACCGGTAGCGGAATGTTTGCGTTTGGCTGTTGGGCCGGCATAAAAATGTTTTTGCACGAAAAAGGTGCATGTCAAAATGATATGAAAACAGTTTCTTTACAATTTTATGGTTTTGCTTAATGGACCGGTACAGAACGCTTTGTTTTGCTTAATGGACCGGTACCGGAATGTTTGCGTTTGGTTCATGGCAAGGAACTGCCGGTTCCCAAAGGTTGGAACTCACTGTTGCCAACGTGGGAACCACAGGTTACCATTGCAAGGAACTGCCGGTTCCCAGAGGTTGGAACTCATGGTTCCCAACCTGGGAACCAGAGGTTACCATTGCAAGCAACTGCCGGTTCCCAGAGGTTGGAACTCATGCTTCCCAACCTGGAAACCATAGGTTACCATTGCAAAGAACTTCCAATTCCTAAATTGTAACCAAGTGTGGTCTCTTTGTCTGTGGGCATTTTTGGCAGTTGAGACTATATGGGAACCATATGGAATTTTATAGAAACTATATAGAAACTATATGGAGATTTCAGGGGGAAAATAGGCCACTTGTATTAAGAGATCATATTATAATCATGTTGTTTTCATAGTATGGTATGGGATGGTGATGATTGTGAAAGGTTACAAATAGTATAATTAAACATAGGCATAAAATCAAATTCACATTCGTGATTCATGATTCGTGACTGCAATGCACACCCCGAAAACAATGTGAAAAACAATGAAAAAACAATATATATATATATATGTATGCATGTATGTATGTATGTATTATCAATGTCACGAAAATGGTGTTTGTAGAAACGGTTTTGACGGTTTCCGACTGTATCATGATAGTACGATTTGGGATAGTCTGAAACGGTCTCGACGGTTTCATACTATAACATGTCGGGGCCTTTTTCAGAGACGGTCTCAGACGGTCTCAGACGGTCTCAGACTATATCCGTTTTTTCGACTTTTTTGGATGGTTTAGTGTGAAACGGTCGCGACGGTTTCTGACCCTAATGACTTTTACAGTAGGAAACGGTCTCGACGGTTTCAGCACACATTTTTTTTGCTACCATGGGTCATCATATTTTTTGATGTTAAAATTTAAAAACATGATGTAAATCATAAAATCATGAGAAATATGATATATAGAATATATTGTGAATACTTACAATCAAAATTCATACGGAATGCGTGATGGCGTTTTGAAATTTCAGAATCCAGGTTCAATGAGAAATGAGGATAGTGAAGCATACATGATGAGGATGTTACATGAGGTTCAAGAAAGAAGATTAATCAATTGAGGAATGACGATTTCATGAGGTTCTAGAATGAAGATTAAATGAGGGATGGGGATTTGGTGAGATTCTAGGCAAGAGAATTCAATGAGGGAGGATTCAATGAGGGACTAAGATTTGGTGAGAGAACGAGGATTGGTGAGGTTCCAGACTGAGGATTAAATGAAGAATCAGGATTTGGTGAGATTCCAAAATCAGGACTAAATGAGGAATGAGGATTTGGTGAGGTTCCGGAAAAATGAGGAATGAGGATTGGGTGAAGTTCCAAACTGAGGATTAAGTGAGGATTAAAGCAGGAAACCAAAATATGATGCTTTCCAGTCTGCGGCTCGCAGAAAATCTCATAAAGCTAGGCTTTAAGGCTGAAGGAGAGCTGGAGACCGTCTCAGACCGTCTGAGACCGTCTCTGGGAGCCTCGTTTCAATAGAAATCAGAAAACATGCAACATACAGGAATCACAGGAATATAATGAAACTGCCATGATCTATGCTGAAACCCTGGGGCTGTGTAGAATCAGGGGGCTTGTGAAACTTGCTAGGTTTCATCGAAACCAAACCGCTCATCAGGGGCGGTGGGCTGGGCCAATGCCATGAAACAACGCACACACACACATATATATATATATTTATTTTTTTATTTATTTATTTATTTATATTGGCTGAAGGGTTAAGGTTTCCAGGGTCAAGATTTAGAATGTTGCTGAGTAAATATCTGCACATTCCAGATGGAAGTGATTTACATCTTGGCCCGAATGCGATACCCCATCTCATGTGTCCAGAAACTCGTTTATTTTTCACAAACCCCGAAATTGACATGAACCTATGAATGGACATGAATCAACATAAGCACTGAACACACATCATACAGTCGCGCAAGGCCTACAAACTGCAACATCAGGCAATCCCAAAGAACAACATTTAATAAGCAATAGAATCATACGTCATATCATTTCATCGTATCAAAGAATCATATATCATAGAATATGGACCATAGGTCACAAATCACATCAAAGACTGTTATATATAACTATATAGTTATAGTCGTAGTTAGAACAATAGTCATAGTTATCTATAGTCTTTAAACTCTAACCTATCTTTAACATTGATACGACTGACTCATTTGTCACATGATTATGATATGATATAACATGAACAACATGATATGATTCATGATATGATATATGGCTCTGATATGGCATATGACAAGGTGACATGACACGACATGTCAAATATCACTTATCACACCTCAACCGACAGAAGCAGGTTGGCTTTATGTGTCTGTGGTCCAAATAATAGTGTGTCATGACACCAGGTGATGATGTATATGTGGCTTCAATTTGTTTTACGCCCCATTGATTTTCCGAATTGGCTTGTGATATTCAGAAGGAGATGAATGAATCAAAATTCAATGGCCCGAAGGCTAGACTTGGAAGACCGTTTTTTTTTCAACAATTATGTTATTTATTTACTGAATATATTATTCAAATATTGTTTTATACACTGTGTGACAAGTGACATGTGAGTATCCAGACAACATTGGCAAGATTTTTCACAATATAGTTTCTGAAATTTCAATATAGTTTCTATATAGTTTCAGCTGATATACTTATAGGTTCTGAAATTCCAAAGTGTATACGTCAGAAACTAGCTGATAA